TTTTTTTTTTTTTTTATTTGGGTACAATTATTTTAATTTAATTTAACTTGGTTACAGTATTGTTTGGTCACATTCCCATAACATATATGACTCTTTTAGTGTGTTCTAATTGGACAAGTGATACATCTCTGACAATTTTAAACTTGTCTGTTAAGCAAGAAAAAAGGGGCTGCCAAAAAATAAATAAATAAATAATTAAATAATTAAATGGTATGCATTATAGATGTAATTACATAACCAGGATGGTAAATACAAAATTCTGAATGAGTGTTTCTAACTAATCGTTAAATGAATTGACCTGTCACGCGATCTAATTATAAAAAGAAAATGTATATTTATATAATGAAATATTATAATTTTATTTGTATTATTTTCTAAAGTATGACATTTAACTTAAAAGTATGTATATATGTTTAAAAAGTATTACTCCTTAATAGTTAGACGCCAATAAAAAACAACTTCTTGTTTTGCAAATAGTCAAATTGAACCTTAATTTGTACATATTAAAGTAACAATAAACCCTAGTACTACATTTTTTTTATATATATATATTTTTGTCACAAAAAAATAAGAAATTCATCTCAATTGCAATAAGTGGTCCAATTAGACCTACTTTAAGATTTTGATTTAATGTGTGTCCAAAATTGGATGTGTATTAATAGTATAAATAAGGTCCAATTAGACCTACTTACAATTGCATTATGTTATTTTCTATCACAACTTTGAAGGAAATTCTTTAGGTTACAATTGCATCATATTATCTTACTAGTACAACACCCATGTATTACACGGGTGCTTGTTAAAAAATTATTCTTAAATTTTAAAATTAATGAAAAAACTATATTAAATTTAGTTTACTTTTTTAACAAAAAAAATATATTACTATATATTTTAGAATGATATGTGTTACTTATGACTTACACTAGTACAGATCCCGTGCGATGCACGGGGTGTACAATTTTAAGGTCATATATCTAGCCTTGTAATTATATAAATAAATAAAAAAAAATGTACGGGATATAGTACGTGACCTGTGCGAGGCACGAAAACTATTTATTTGAGGAGTATAACATTTTAAAACGTGGAATATCTTTTCATTTGCCAGTGAGATAAGTATGTTGAACTATTCTTATCTTCTTTTATAAATAAATATAATTATAAATTATTCCTTGCATAATACTATGAGATGTGTTATTATATTAGTTGTAAATTTGTTTTTATTTGTGAAAGAGAGAGCGTGATTTATTTCATTAATAATATGGAATTTTGGAAACAAAAAAATCTGAGATAAAAAAAATACATGTCCAAATTGGAAAAAAGATAAGAAAAGATTTGTGATCAAATGCGTGATTTATTTCTTTAATAATATGGAATTTTAGAAACAAAAAAATCTGAAATAAAAAAAATACACGTCCAAATTGGAAAAAAGATAAGAAAAGATTTGTGATCAAATCTTACTATAAACGTTTTATTTCTTGATTTTATCAGATTTTTTTTTTCA